CACCAACCTGTAGTTGCTCGAAGAAATCCGAATATAACGCAGCCATGTTAACGGCTTGTATTTCGAGTGAGTTGATTGCTGGAAAATAATGTTGCAAAGCACCACCGTACCGGTTTTTCACCTTTAACATCTTTAATGAATTGATTGCTTTGCTTGACATACAATAAAAATCTCTACGGTAAACGCGAGATAATCATTCAATGAATTTCAACGAAATTCATAATGCTCTGATCTTATACATGGACCATTTTTCACATTTGTCCAAAACACTGCTACGTAAACATGAGAGTCTTCTTCCACAATCTAGCGGAATAAATTTCGATATCATTGTTGTGATAGAGACAAAAGCACAACAAACGCAGAAATTCGATAAAGGTAATAATTGAAACATACAGAAGTGTTACCCAACATCGAAAGAATTGCTGGAGCCGCACGACGACGTCGAAGCATCGGACACCGGCTGTCGAGGGCAGAAGCGCACCTGAAGTAATGTGGCATAAAATTCAGATGCAGCTATTCAAGNTCGAAGCATCGGACACCGGCTGTCGAGGGCAGAAGCGCACCTGAAGTACTGTGGCATAAAATTTAGATGCAGCTATTCAAGCCGAGAATGATTCAGATCCAACAAGGATGTCAGAACAGGCATTGTCGCAGTTTTTCTTGTGAAACGCCGTTTAGAACTTGGTAATGAGAAAATTCGGTTCCTCAGAAGGCTACGGTTCAATTCAAATGCATCAAGAAGAAATGATGACACAGAAAAGTCGCATAGAAATGAAAATTCAATCTGAATCAACGTTCATGAATGATTCGAACTTTCGGCTGACGTACTCTGCAGTCATACAGCTGTGGATTTTATATGCTGGATCGAAAAAGCTATGTAAGACTAACACAATCGATTTTTGCAGCCTCTGGAAATCCACGTTCACAGCATTACAGTTGGCGATGAGTAGTATGAACATTGCGATCGAATCTAGCGATACTGTATCGTCCGGAACCAGCTTCCAAGAGGGACCGCACATTGTTGCCGAGACGTACTGCTTACGACAGCGTTCACGGGCGTTCGATGCGCAATTGCATTGAATTTCACTTTTAGTCCATAGTGACGACTGTTTCAGTGTTGAGCTTGGTCCCACTGAAAATCAGAATTTAATTCAAACTGCCATAGAAGCCACTGGTTCACTCAAAATTGATCACATATAGACTAATGAGAGTACAGTTACGATGATCCGTGATGAAGATGAACAAGGTACGAAGTATTTTTTGACCATCAAACTTGAAAGCTCGACTTTCCGATCTAAGTCGGAATCGAACAGAATGTCTCGATTTCTAGAGCTTCTGTAACTATTGAGAGAGCAGTTCTCACATTTTAATCGCCTGATTCTGAACTGTTCTGTTTGATTACAGGAGACGTCGAAAAAAATTACAGTAACCTTCGCATATGTTAGCATCGCTTAACGCATGTCGATCATCAACAATCAGTAATGCGTATCGTAAATAATTCGAAATCGACCGGGGCATCGTATAATAATACGGCACACGAATTGAATACACATTGCAACGTTTATCAGTCATATTCGTTGTGCGCTGTGTCAGCTGCATAGACGTGCGATACCCGTCGTGAAGACCTATGCCGTTCCGTATACCGTCCTAAAATGTATCACATCAGCAATTCGAATTTGTGCAGCGTGAAAAGATTCGCTGGACTTTGACTCAGCAGAGTACCGTCTTCATAGACTTCCTGAGATTCTGAAGCTTCGTTCACCAGTTCTTGCTTTATACTCACACGTTACAAGACATAATTATGCCAAGCCTAAGCTTTTTCTATCGAAACTTTGAGCAATGAGCTTAGAAAGATGTGACCGACGGTGAGACTGACGCAAAATCTAACCAGTATGAGACGAAATGGGAGGGAATAATCGTCAATCATGAACGGTGGCACCATGATGATGGCTTCTGATGAACCACCAATATTCTCAGCAACAAATGAATAGTTTTTGCTTCCAGTTTCTGGAACGATGAACGATCCTGGACTGAGTCGTAGCACTGGCAGAGGTACCTGGTAAGTGCAAAAATGCAGAGAAGTGAATGACAAAACGGAATAGTGAGACCATTCATGGATGAATTGGAACTTCAAAGTATGCTCTTCAAATGGAAAATCTTGATCTCCAATTGTGCTCTGATAGTGAGTGCAAGATGGATTTCAAAATCATTCGCAATTATACATTTCAAGCTATCTGAAAATGAATGAACGCAAGTAGAAAGAGGGATTTGTTCCTTACAGCAGTTTGTTTTTCAAGTTCATCCACTGTTAATTGTTTATCACTTGTGATGATAGGAACAAACGGGAAAGCTAGCGGTAGAAGCACTGTTATTGAAGTATTGACGGGAGAAGCCTGAAAACTCATTAAATGTTGTCATATCTTCGCTATATAATACCGATCATTCACAGAGTAAAACAATTTATAAGCAATTTGTCAGAACTGTTGGCTTCGATTATAAAGCATCATGAAAAGAAGAGTCTTTTCGACCTCGATTATCAAACACGGGAAATATATTCGACTAATTAAAACGTTGAATATTCTGAAATGATTCAGAGGATCAGCATTATTCGACAGCTGATGAAAATTCAACTGAGAGCAGCAAACTGTTACCTGAACGATCATTGAAATAGTTTGATGGATTGGTGATGACACAGTTAGTTCGTATACGCCTTCAGTTATCGAAAAGAAAACGCTTGCCTCTGAGAGAAAAATATCTGTTAGAGGTTAATTGACAGTGAACATCACGGCAGAACGCCCCAAAATCCGAATATTCTAGTTACTTGATTGAAGGCATTTCATGGAATTCAATGGAGCGAGGTGAATGAATGAGAACAGTGGAGTGATCAATTTTGACATAAGATTGACTCCTTATTCGCGAGTGATGAATCAACAGGTGAATTCAATTAATGAAACGTGGAGACTATAAGTGAAGGGAAAAGAACAAACAACCGTTAGAACGTGTTTGACGATGGTCATCAAAGCCAATT